CAGTTTAACTGATTCAAATGATTCTGACTTGCTGCGTTGGACACCTGTTTCATATATTTTGCAAACAAAACAGAAAAAAACCTTCATATGAATTGAAGAGAAAATATATACATACAAATTTAAAAACTCAGTTTTCACATTCATCATGTGTGGATTGCCTGTGTGGATTGTATTTTAAGTTAAAAAGGTGTGAAAGAGATCCTTGTGTGCTTTTGGGAAAGATTGAGCTAAAGCTATCCTCTTTGTCATATGTTACTAAATTGAATTTAATTAGATTCGTTCAATACTTGTTTTATGTAGTGGTGAATGCCAAACATTTTCAAATGTTCAGGATTCAACTGGAAGTAGATAAATGGCTCAGCCATTTATCAAATCTGGCAATTAAACTGAAATATCATTACACATAAAACATGTTGGTCAAAATTAACAAAGCTATCTCTTTTTCAGTAACAATCTCTATGAAGAAGGAGAGTAATTTGAATGCAAAATGATATTGGTTTTAGTCAGTGCAAGAGAGAACCAGTGATTTTTTTTAAAACAAAGCAGGAGCTGCCTGACATTGACAGCATCAACACACAGTGTTAACTAAGCAGAGAGGTAAATATAGCTGCAGCACAAACAGAGCAGAAAATCCCGTCATTACAGCGACGCTGGCAACCGTTCATCACGTTTCACCACTAGGTTTACATCTCCTCTCGTCTGACTCCCACCGCTCTCATGCAGCTCCTGGGACATTCCTCCCATGCCAGCTAGGCATTCCAGTCTTTGCTCAGCATAGATCAACCTGAAGTTTCCCTCAATTTTACACAATTTTAACGTTTACACAAAAGTCCTCGTTTGTCTTCCCAAACTATCTGCTCATGCATCTTTAAAAGTGTTCTGCTGCAGTCATCTGCTGATTAAATATCAGCGTAATACTCTATTCATAGTAGCTGCTTCAAGCCCATCTAAGGTTCTGCACCAGCTGTATTTTATGTACCAGAGTTAGGAAAGCTCATCTATTTGTTTATTTCATGAAGGGAAACTTTTCAGACAATTGTTGAGCTGTGAACACAAAATCTACTGTTTTGTGAAGCTTGTGAAGCAAGTGGGTAGTGTAGCTGACATTTATTCAACCTCCTCAAATTTATTAGCTCAATCCATATTCTCAGCTGCCACCACCGTGTTTCACAATGAAGATTTTGTCATACGGAGGTTTTTAAATGCAGGCAAAGTTAACACAGTCACATTAAGATTTGTCTGGAACAGATCACCTTTTCCCCCCATGCTTGTAGTGTAGCCTACATGGCTTAAGGCAAAGTGCTATTGAGATTTATTTATCTATGACTTTATTATAGCATCTCTTCCATAAAACACCTGAGTTAAACCAAAATTGGAAATAGTCACTTTGTGACTTCTTTAGTTAATATTCTCCTTATCCACCCAGTTAGCTATGGTGTACTGAACAGAGCTTTGTGACAAATTTATATTTGTCTATGACAGAAAACTGCTTTACACTTTTTCACAACTCTAACCTGTCTCATGTGTTTGTTTTTTAATGTTCTCTAACAAAGCCCTGAGGCATCATGTTTAAACAAGAGCTGGATTTATATTGAGAAAATGACAGACAATTTAACTCCATTTATGAAGCTTTTGAAGATTGGTTGCTGTGGATTTTACGTAGGGATATTCAAATAAATGGAACTGAATACATACTAATGCCATACTGTTCAAATTTAAATGGACAAAAATCTTGGTAATTATTTTCCTTTTAATTCACAATTATGTTCCACTTTGTGCTGATCTGTTACATATAATCCCAGCCATAATACATTAGTTTGCGGTTGGAACATATTAAAGTATGAAAAAGTTAAACTGGTGTAAATACTTTTGCCAAGTATTGTATGTGTGTTTGAAATCTGAAAGTATATAAATCAGTGAGAGCAAGGCAGATTTTCACCTGACTTTAGCAGAGACACAGTCATAAAATATTTCAATTTCAAACTCTGATGCAAGTTTTAAGGCATCATTTCAGAAATCAGAAAGTTTTCTGAAGTTAGCAATGCCCACAGAATTCAAATAAAATTCAGGCCTGGACTTGACTAATAACCACAACTCATTTTTCCACTTATTGTTAAACCCAGCCAGCTTAGTGTGATATAGATGAGGTATAGATGAACATATTTATATTTCACTGCACAATGGTGACCTGTAAAGGGGCACTAAATGGGCCTCAGTGTTACTCTGCATACAGACAACATAGGGTGTGTGGATTAGCCAGTGATTTCTAATAGGGAAAAAAGAATGATATGGCAAAAGGAAGACATGAAAGGAGAAAATACTTTTCTCTTTAATCATACAAAAGATGGCATGGTATAAGGTAGTAGAAGAGAACATTTAGTGGGGGGTGCCATGAATGGATGAGAAAGATTCACTTACAGTGTGTCCTTTAGAGATGAAGATGAAGTTTCAGTTTGTTCTCCTCCAGCAGGAATGATATCCGTTTGCTAAACCAGGCATTGCCAAAGCCAAAGAAATACACCCCACACAGAGATAGGTAGGAAGAGGGTGTGTGTGCGTGTGTGTCAGAGAGAGTGGATTGACGAGAAGGCGGTTTGGGATCCTGCTTTATTGTGTGTGTGGGTGTGTGTGTGTGTGTGTGTGTGTGTGTGTGTGTGTGTGTGTGCGTGTGCACTGTCAGGAGCAGAACGAGACTGAGAAGGAGAGAGAGAAAGAAAAAAAGATGCAGAGAGCTTGAACGAGCTGAGTGGCTGGTGTGAAAGTGGGAGGGAGCTCGACGGTCCAATAGTGAGCAAGATGAGCTGAGCAAACAGGAGATAGCAACAAAGAGACAGATTTTTTTTTTCTAAATCCTGATCACACACCACATTTTGTCTGTTTTCTCTATATTTTAGATTACGATGGCAGAGGAAATGAGAAACACCCAAAGCATCAAACAGAAAGTGGGGGTTGATCCATTTGCTACGTTCAGCCAAAGGCTTCAGCTCAAGATGTATTTCTCTCACGCACAGTTTTTAGGTGCAGGGAGACTGATGGGAGGAACACAGGAGATAAATCATCAAACCCTCCTTGGGGCTCTAATAACAGATTGCTTGAAGGATGGACAAATGGAGTGCAGCTTAGAAGGCTGAATTGAAGAGCTGACAGAAAATAACAGAAAACCAATATAAAAGAGGGAGTTGCTCCCTTTTTACGTCTGCTTAGTTCTAAAACCTCATATAAAAAATTGTCAGCAAACCAGCATTGAGTCTGTGTCCATGCACACAGGATGTCTATGTGCATGGACAGCTAAGACATGTGCAGCGTCCTGCCTCCTCAGAGTGTGTGTGAGACACTGGTGTGCATAAGCATGGGGGCGGGGGAGCAGACCGTCTTTCTCGGGATTTTGCTGCGGGAGCACAATGTTGCCATGGAGACTGCATCCATTGCAGCAGAAAAACGCAGATGGACAGCCTCTCTTTCTTCCCTGATGTGGCCCAGGTTGCCTCTCATCCCTGACCTGCAATTCATAAAAAACTTGTCCTTTTGACTTTGTGGATAGGTGGAGGAAAAATGCTCCGGGTGTGGACCAGCCTATGACTCAGACCGCTGACAAACTGCTTATGGCAGAGGTGAAGGCCTTTTTGTTGAATTATTAGAGAATGTTTAATCACAGAGCAATGTCTTGCACGATTAAGATATACATATCTAAATACGTCAGGATACATAAATTAAAGGTAAATCAGTTGTCATACTTCCTGAATGTAATTACAGCTCATTGGAGAGTGAATGGTCTGCATCTGAATGCATGCTAATACGGACATAATGTTGACACTAGGGCACACAATCAGTATCTCGTTACTAAATTCAAAACATCAATTTGAGTTGACTTCAAAAGTGAATAAAGACAAGTAAGAACATATTTGGAGGGAAATCACGTGCAAACACAACATGACTCAGTTTTTTGTGAAGGCACAAAGAAATATGACCAGTTCTAATATCCCTCAAACTCATCTTGTTTAAATCTTTCATTTGGTAGATAACTGAAATTGTTTTCTATTTGCATGTTAAGCTTATTTATTTATGACTAATCTCTGATTATCAAGGGTTATCATCATAAAGATGATAGCCCTTGAACTTTCTCACATTTTATCAGGTAAGAGCCACAAACATCAAGGTATTTTACTGAAATTGTACGTGATAAATCAGCACAACAAAACAAATATTTGTAAAGTGGAATAAAAATAATGTTCACTCAAAAACATAGATTCTGAGAACAATAGCTCGGTAATCGTCAAAACAAAATCAGCACATTTTTAAAAATCTAATTTTGTTACTCTTCATATTTTGATGTCTCCTGACCTGTTCTTCTTCTGACCCATGTATCCAGTAGATTGGTTAAAATGTGTGCAAATTTTTTCTGAAAAAAATAAGTTTTTATTTATTATTAATTATGTAAATGTATTTATTTATTCTACTATTGTTATTATCATTAGCACCTTGTCTGTGCATCTAACTAACAAAACAAAACCAATTTTAATCAGTAGAATTTCTTCCCAAAATATATTTACTATGCCGTGTGTCAATAATTCCAATTCTCATACAGATTCACTGTAATTTGAGATCTTTGGTTGAATGAAACCAAAATATAACTTTTTTGGCCAACCAGCAAAATATTTTCTGAGGTAGAAAACAAACACAATGGTTCACACTGACCTCTTTCAGAGGAGATTTTGAATCTTCTCTGAAACGTCATATGAAAATGTTGCAGTTTAGAAGTGAACACTTCAATGTCTGCTGCATCTCAAGTTGATTTTGTTTCATACCACAGAAAATTACATCATCCGTATAGATGGAGTTCAAGCTGCAACAGTGAAGATCTTAACCCATCTTATTTCAAAGTGATTTGGTGACAATTTTACATAAGCTGTGACAAAATATTCAACTTCCGAAGGATAGAGAAATAGGTGAACTTGCTACAACCAACCAGCAGACAGTGTAACACCTTCATTTGCTTTTACCTGTCCATTTTGCTGAGCCCTGGGTTGCTGATGAAGGAGAGCAGATTATCCATGCAGTCTTCTTTTCCTAAGAGGAATAACAATACAAACTGTATCAATAAAGAATATCAGATGTAGTTCAAATATGTTGTTTCAAATTGTACAATTTACTTCCTTTCAAAATTGTAAAGTTAGGTTCTGAAAAAACAAGACATTGATGCAGACTAACGTAAATAAAAAGCGCCATCTAGTGGTTGAATGCAGAAAGAATCCATGAAAAGCCATTTAAGTTTTGATGAGGAATATGTGTTCAAAATGTCATTTTACGAAAAAAACATATTGATCGGACTTAAACCTTGATTACCTGCAAGCAACGAGATGCACACTGCTGTATGAAACGCAAAAGCGAAAGTTAGGCTAGAACTAAAGACAACAGTCAGCAAAATATGAAGAGATTGAACGAAAAATTGCACCACAGGACACAGGGACGGTGCTACGGCCAGGCTGTGTTTCGTATTTATCATAAACAGTGGACCAACGGTAGCGCGTCTGACTCCAGATCAGAAGGTTGCGTGTTCAAATCACGTCGGGGTCATATTTATATTCTTAAATATTGACGATCACATTTTTGTTCTTAGTGTTACAGAAAACGGAAAAAACTTTTCATCGACTAAATCAAGATAGCGAAACATATGACTCTGCATATAAAGACAAGTACAAACGTTTCCAATAATTGACTTTAAAATTTGTGAAGAAAAAAAAGTGTCGAACAGATGAACTGGTTTAGAAATAAACTTGATCTAGTTTTTAGATCCCTTTGTTTTTCATTAGCCTATTGTTGTAACGGTTCCTTTCTTTAATGGAAACCAAATGGATGGTAAAACGATGCAGTTGGAAAAATTGAAATAATGACCTTGCTTAATGTAGTGTTACTTCTTTTTGGTCTAAAATATAATTGTAATTTACAAAAAGCTAACTTTTGCTGATTTCTATAAAACAGGAGAAAAAAAAGCCATTCTGGAGGCGTAATGTCTATATAAAAAAAGTTAGGGCATATTAAATAGATTTCTTATGCATTTTTAATACAAATATAGGCTATCAATTTAGTAGATAGATTTCTTTTCTGAAAAATAGATAAGACATATATTTAATAAGCGGCTACTTTAAATCTAACCGCACCCTCGTAAATAGTTACATGCCCAAAGCGTTAATGGTGGATTAGGTTACGCAGCGGCTACCACAGACACTACGTAGTGGTTTTGGGACGTTACCAAGACCATGACATTCAGCTGTAGGAGCACTTAACAAACAAACAGTATTACTAAGTACATATTAGAGGCTATTTATGAAAACCAAGCTGTCCTGTAATCTTCCACCACATTACCTTATAATCTCGAAGCCAATCCTTGTTAAAAACGAGCAGGAAAGTTCTATTTTCCAGTTTTACCACTCCTTTGTCTCCTTCTCTCTTCAGTCGTAGTTTTCTTGTGCGTCTCTGCCTTCCTTTCGTCTCACATGCTCCTGCTGAGCTTAAAAGCTTCAGTGCAGCATGACTGCCTTTCTAACTCAGTCCAAGCATCTCTCTCCCCACCGCTCATGCCAGTCTCATCTTTCACCGAGAACACTAGACTCTGAATGCACAATTCATTAGCAGAGCCCTGCAAAGAGTGAAACTTGGCTGACACATAAGGTCTGTCCTTAGGAGCAGACTCACATGAGGAGGTCCTTAGCTGCACTTGTTTCCCATCACAATGGCTCGATTGTATTTGAGGGTCTCATTTTACATGCAACAGGCCAGTTTTTCCTGGTATCTCTGCTTTTGTAAAAGCATATGCTTTGAGCTTTCATTGGTTTTCTAAAGAGGTGATGTTTTTAAGAGAACCTTTCATGGTGAAGCTATACCCTATTTTTATTGTTGCAAAACCTCCCCCTTTTTAATCAAATAATTTGTCAAAAATGCCAAGTGTTACGGCCCAAGGCTATTCCTTTGGGGTTTAGCACCCTTGCTCCAGATATTCTCATTGGTGCTGATTGGAAGTGGAGGCAGCTGGCCAGTGTCTCCATCAATGACATCAGATCAGCATAAAATGCACCACCTTTTTCTCATCAGCCCAGCCCTTTTCTTTCTGTCTGTCCACTTCTCCTCTTTTTTCCCTTTCCTCTCCAACCAGCTATAATTTTTGTTAAATAAATCCTATTTTAAGTTATCCCATGCGTTGCTTCCTTTAATTTGTTATGGTATTAGAGCCAGACCATAACAAATTGGGGGCTCATCCAAATTTATGTTATAGTTTGGCATGACAGTTTTCTTTTTTGTTAGTAAGTTTTGTTTATTAATTTAATTGGGAAGTTAGTGTGGGAATCTTCAGTTTTGTCTGAGAGAAATTTTGTTTTTTTTCTCTTCTTTTTCTGGTTTGGGGTAAGTAGTTTGCTTTCATTTCATCTGACGACTAATGGTAAGTGTGATTGTTGACTGGTTTGTGCAATTAAGTATGACTGATCTGAACTGATTCTCCTTTAGGCCTCAGCGTGTCTCCCTTTGGGAGTCATGTGCTCAAAAAACAGTAGTGTGAGATCATATGGTTAGAGCAATTGTCTCGGGGGCACAGCCGTAGTGTTGAGAAGGTTGCCAGTTTCTGGTCGCTTTTTTCACTCTACTGGTATTTAGTGCATAAGTACCCACCGTCCCTGATCTCTGAAGACTAGGGTTGAGCTAGATAGTGTCTGATAGGCAGTTAGAGGGGAGGTTCAGGTTGGTTGTTTTGTGTTGCACAGATTGTCAGCAATTTACTTTAAATTTTGAAAAACTGTTTTCTGATTAAGAACTTAATTATGTCTGTTGAAGATTTTAATAAAAATCCATCAGCAGGATTTCTGGATTTGTGTTCAAGAGAACAATTAGTAAAAATTGCTGAGCACTATAAAATAAGTGTTGGTGATAAACGGTTGAAAGAGAATGTTAAAGCAATTTTAAGGGAAAACTTAATTGAAATGGGTGTTTTCTTTTTCTTCAATGCCTGAAGATTTGGATTCAGAGGTTGTAAAGCCTAAACTTTTGGATTTTGAACAACAAAAAGAGATAAGATTAAGAATGCAACTGGAGAAGGAAAAGGAGTTGGCTTTGGAGAATTTACGACAGCAAGCAGATTTGGATAAGGTTCTTGCTTTGGAAAAACTAAGACAGGAAACTGAATTGGCAAAAATAAATTTGGAAAGTGAGAAATTACATCTGATGAAAGAAAGCAAATTGTCTGTGGAATCTTGTGTTATGGACTCAAAATGTAAGGCCTCTGACATTTTAAGTGACTTGCGTTTGGTGCCTAAGTTTAGTGAAAAAGATGTTGAAACTTTTTTCACTTTGTTTGAAAGGGTTGCAGAGACAAGAGACTGGTCTGATTCAGACCGCATAGTTTTGCTTCAGTGTGTTTTGGTTGGTCGTGCTCAGGAAGCTTTTGCTATGTTGAGCTTAAATGATGGCCAGAATTATGCCAAGGTAAAAGCTGCAATACTGAAAGCGTATGAATTGGTCCCTGAAGCATACAGGCAGAAGTTTAGAAACTGGAAAAAAGGTGACAAAACTTATGTAGAGTTTGCAAGGGATCTGGAGATTCATTTCAATCGTTGGTGCACTTCCTCTGAGGTTAAAACACTTGGTGACCTCTGTAATTTAATGGTTCTTGAACAATTTAAGAACTCTGTTTCTCAAGGCATTGCAATGTACATTAATCAACAGAAGGTAAAAACTGTATCAGAAGCTGCAGTGTTGGCAGATGATTTTGTCTTGACACATACCAAACTAACAAATTGCAAGGATTTATCAGGGGTAATAACGCAAAGGAGGAGAGTTGCGAATTGCAATTCCAGAGATATATTGACCTGAAATGAAGTGCACATTAATTTACTTATACATGGGGAATAAGGTAATGTCCTTTAATTAATAAAAAACACTGGCATGAATTTCACAATTTGTTTCATCTCCCCTCTCCCCCAGAAGAAAGAAAACAAAGCAAAAAAAGAACACCCTCAAAGAGCAAAGCAAGTCCCTATTTGCCTTCTGTCCTCGAAAGGGTAAAAGCATGACATTCAACATATCTTTAGCCATATAAAACACAGAAAAACGGAGAAAGCCTAGTTTCTGTCTTTAAAACTTTAGATTAAGAAGTGAATTATTTCATGTTTTTTCATCCAAATTGCAGAGTTTACTTCTGCTGCCAATAAGTTTAAACAAAGACTTCAATCCAGATGTCCCTTCAGCGTAATTTTCCACCTTTCTGTCACTTCTTTCCTTTAAGTCTCCTACTCTTGATTCAGAGGAGACGGATCTTTGAGATACGCTCCTCTGGAATAAGTATCTCAGTCGGAAGCCCATTCTAGGAGAGCGCAGGGTTTCATCCACGGAGGCCGACCTTGGCAGTGGTCCCTGTGACAATGCTCTCTGACGGATACACTCAGGAAGGGAGGCAGACCCTCCAAATGGAGAAGTCAGACTTTCTTGACTATTACAATTTTTCAAGTCAGTTTCATCATTCTCCCAGACTCCATCATCAGGATCATTTCCAGAAGATGTTGATGATCCTCTGCGGGCTGTGTCTCTCAGGCTGTTGCTTCTCGGAGAGCAACTTATGGGGCTCAGAATAGTCCATGGAGATCCCACATTACCATTATTGGTAAAGAAGTAGTCCCTAGCTCTAAGTGAAGGGGTTCGTGGAGTACTAGCTTCGTCCTGTTCTACTTTCGAATGCCGAGGACTCCCCAATATCTCATCATTACGGCTGCCTTTGACATTTTGGTAGCAAATTACCTTCCGGGTTATCTCGCGCATCTTTTCGGCTTCTTCCTTCTCCAATTTTGCCAATTCCACATCTTTAAGTAGCTTAGTTTGTTTCTTCACTGGGCTGTCTGTAGTTTTGCAAGAAATTGGCCTTTCTTTTTGTGAAGTCTGAGAACAGGATTCAGAACGCAAGCCTTTAGCCTGGGGTTGATAATTCTTCCTACATCTGCTTAAACCAGATGGGGGTTTGGATAGAAGGTTGTGCAGCGCTGACTCTAAGCATGAGTCATCTGTAGGGTCAAGTGCTGAACATGAAGCCACAGAGCGTTGTTTAGCAGCTAGTTGCATGCTCTCTGAGCGCTTGTGTCTTTGTTCAACAGCTTCTCGCTCTCTGTTCTCCTGCAGGTCATGTAAAGAGAAAATATTTCATAATGAACCAAACCTCCAGAAAGGAAAACCTAAATAAAAATCCTTCAAATTTGTGAAAGGTTCAAACCACTGAAAAAGTAAATGTTGATCTCATAATAAAAATGCTGGATATTGTTAGTCTTCTTACCTGTACAGCTTTGTCAAACCTTTTACAGAATGAATAAAAGATGGAACAACACTCTTCAAGTTTGAAGGTAGCTGGGTCTTCACAGAAATACCCTGCGACAGCATCGCTTAAAGCCTTCAGTTCATTCAGGGACAGGTCAACGTCTGCAAGCATAGAATCTGCCCTTGTTGCACCCTTGAAAAGAACTAAAAAAAAACTGAAGAGTTTCACTTTTGTGCAACTTTATTAAAACAAAATCCACGGTTCAGTATACAGCATATATTTTTTCTCTCTCGTTTTTTTTTCTCTAATCTAACAAGGTCATGAACTCCTCACTCCCATCATGCACCACTCTTAAAGTGATATTATCATAACATAAATCAAATAAATGCTATTCTTAACATATGGTCAATTTTCAGGGCTCTACACCCTCTGTCAAAAAGTTATAAAATACATGTATAGATCTTAGTTCTTTTGTCAGTTGACTGGTAAACCCAATCAAGTCATAAACCGGGCACCACTGTATCCTATTCCGACTATTGGTAAACCATTTGAGCACTTAATAATTGATTGTGTGGGTCCTCTTCCACCTTCACGTTTGGGTGCTAAGTATCTTTTGACAGTTATGTGCCAAAGTACCAGGTATCCAGCAGCCTATCCATTGCACACACTTACTGCAAAGTCTGTGGTGCGAGCGCTTGGGCAATTTATTTTTTATTCAGAGTGACCAAGGATCTAATTTCTCCTCTCATTTGTTTGCACAGGTTTTGAAGCAGCTACACATTCAGCATAATCAATCTACAGCATATCACGCACAGAGCCAAGGAGCACTGGAGCGCTTTCATCAGACATTAAAATCTTTACTCCGTGCTTACTGTGTTCAGATGAAGGCTGATTGGGAGGATGGTCTGCCTTGGTTATTACTTGCAGCGAGAGAAGTAACGCAAGAAAGTATGGGCTTTAGCCCTAATGAATTAGTATTTGGTCATACTGTGCGTGGTCCATTAACAGTTTTGCGAGATGAGTGGAAAGATGCTGAACCACCACCACAAAACTTGTTGCATTATGTTAATGGGTTTAAGCAGAAACTCTTTACTGCAACGCAGATGGCAAATAAGAACCTATCATCTGCACAGGAAAAAATGAAGTGCTTGTATGATAAGAAAGCTGAACATCGTGTTTTTCTTTCAGGTGATCAAGTCCTGGCTTTACTTCCTGTTGTGACTTCACCATTTCAGGCCAAGTTTTCTGGCCCACACACAGTTTTGAAACAGCTTTCCGACCAAAACTATCTCATTGCAACTCCAGAAAGACGGAAGAAACAGCAGACGGTTCATGTAAACCTCTTAAAACCATACCATGTTCGCGGTAAGACTGTATTGGTGGATGATATTCACCCTGTGTGCATCAGTGAAACGCTGACATCTGCTGGAGGTGAATGGAATGGCGATGGGTTGCCTGTTCCAGATTCAGCCATGCTAACTGGTCGACTTATAAATTCTGAAGTACTGAAGAACTTGGACACTATGCTGAATTATTTACCAGAGACTCAATGCTTTGAGTTGATTCGGTTGATAAAATCTTACTCTGATTTATTTGCAGATATTCCATCCTGCACACATCTGATTGAACATGATATTGAGGTGGGTGATGCACAACCTATAAAACAGCGGTTTTACAGGGTTAGCCCTGAGAAACGCAAATATCTTGATGCTGAGATTGACTACATGTTAAAAAACGGGATCGCTCAAGCATCATGTTCAAGCTAGTCTTCACCTTGCTTGCTAGTTCCAAAATCAGACAAAACATACAGGTTTTGTTCTGATTTCAGAAAAGTCAATAGCATAACCAAAACTAATTCATACCCGCTACCTCGTATGGATGACTGTATTGACCAGATTGGTAATGCTAAGTTCATTACTAAAATAGACCTGTTAAAAGGTTATTGGCAAGTCCCTTTAACAAAAAGGGCACAGGAAATCGCTGCCTTTATTACACCTACTGGTTTGTACTCGTACAATGTTATGCCTTTTGGTTTGAAGAATGCCGGCAACTTTTCAGCGCTTGATGAATAAAGTTGTTGGAGGTTTAGAAGGTTGTTCTGTGTATTTGGATGACATTGTTGTCTATTCTCATAGTTGGTCTTCTCACCTGGAACAACTCACAACTTTGTTTGACCGTTTGGTGGAGGCACGTCTCACAGTGAATCTAGCCAAATGTGAGTTTGCTCGAGCAACTGTCATTTATCTTGGTCATCAAGTGGTCAAGGTAAAGTATGTCCAGTTAAAGCAAAAGTAGAAGCGATTGAAAACTATCCACCACCAACTACTAAAAAGGAACTCATGAAATTCCTGGGTTTAGTTGGGTATTATAGAGCCTTCTGCAGAAACTTTTCAAAGGTGGTTGCACCTCTGACAGATCTTTTGAAAATTAATGTGAAATACAGCTGGTCCTCTGTCTGTCAGCAGGCTTTTGAAGATGTGAAGAGGATGCTATGTGATTCTCCTGTTTTGTTGGCTCCAGATATGAATAAGCCTTTTAAACTACAGGTTGATGCCAGTCATGTTGGTGCAGGGGGAGTCCTTTTGCAAATGGATGACTTTTTAATTGAGAGACCTGTGAGTTTCTTCTCTAGGAAGTTTAATAGACATCAACTGAATTATTCAGTCATAGAAAAAGAGACCCTTGCTCTTATTTGGTCATTACAACATTTTGAGGTTTATGTGGGCTCAGGTCCTTTAACTGTCTTACAGATCACAATCCTCTGACCTTTTTGAACTCTTTTCAATGCCCAAATCAGAGACTTGTGAGATGGTCGTTGTTTCTGCAGTCATTTTCTTTAGATATTCGTCATATCAAGGGAAAGGATAATGTCATCGCAGATGCTTTGTCAAGAGCGCAAAGTCAGTAACTTTTTTTCCCCCCTTTTACCTGTCTGAGTCACTTCATGGTACCAGTTGTCGACTTGGACATGGGATATAAAAGGATCTGGATTTTGTTTTCTGTTTCATCTCAGCTTGTCTGAGATATCGTGAGTGTATTTAAACTTGTTTTTCTATTTTTTTTTCAGATGTTGATACATAGGTTGCCCAGGGTTCCGGTAGGGACCCTGTTTTGAAGAGGGGGGGTGTTACGGCCCAAGGCTATTCCTTTGGGGTTTAGCACCCTTGCTCCAGATATTCTCATTGGTGCTGATTGGAAGTGGAGGCAGCTGGCCAGTGTCTCCATCAATGGCATCAGATCAGCATAAAATGCACCACCTTTTTCTCATCAGCCCAGCCCTTTTCTTTCTGTCTGTCCACTTCTCCTCTTTTTTCCCTTTCCTCTCCAACCAGCTATAATTTTTGTTAAATAAATCCTATTTTAAGTTATCCCATGCGTTGCTTCCTTTAATTTGTTATGGTATTAGAGCCAGACCATAACACAAGCAACTGTAAATGAACTCAGCAGAGGTGGAATAAATTTGCATGGGCAGAAACATCCTTACACTACAAGCTAGAGGTCATGATTGTTCAAAATGGTTACCTAGGTGATGCAAATGAATGCCTTTTATATTCCAGTTTTGGTAGTTTTACAAAATCTTGTTTCAGAGACACTAAAATTTAACAGGTCCCACAAAAGCATGCAGCCTTACAAACATGGTATGAAGGCTGGATGGAAAGCTTTGCTTTAAATGTGATTTGAGTTTTGATTTTTTTTTTTTTTTTACAAGTGCATTTACAGACTGGTTAGACACCTCCTCCCATCCGTTAATTGTTTTGATCAAACTAAACTATATGTTCTGTAAAATTGCTAAGAAATAGCTTTATTGCAACCAACATAGGGTGTTGTAAGAAAAGGAACCAATCTCTTCCTCCCATAGCCTTTCATAGTGGAGGACCTGTGATGCTCTGGATTCAGACAAAATTGATTTTGGTAGCATGAACTCTGAAGTACCAGCACATTCTAAAAAACCTTGGCCTCAGCCAGAAAATGTTTATTTAATCCAAAACATCTTTATTTTACATATATATGATCAAAAACAATAGCACAAAAACAAAACAAAAAAAAACTTTCATGTCCGTCTCAGTCCTCAGACCTATATTGTCAAAAGGCTAAGGTCAAAAGATTACATAAAAGAGGACCTAAGTTAGTGTAGTCAGACTGTGTGAGAGGAATAATTAAAACATAGTGGGTTTAATTACAAAAAACAGCGATTCACTACCAAACTAACAAATTGCAAGGATTTATCAGGGGTAATAACGCAAAGGAGGAGAGTTGCGAATTGCAATTCCAGAGATATATTGACCTGAAATGAAGTGCACATTAATTTACTTATACATGGGGAATAAGGTAATGTCCTTTGATTAATAAAAACACTGGCATGAATTTCACAATTTGTTTCATCTCCCCTCTCCCCCAGAAGAAAGAAAACAAAGCAAAAAAAAGAACACCCTCAAAGAGCAAAGCAAGTCCCTATTTGCCTTCTGTCCTCGAAAGGGTAAAAGCATGACATTCAACATATCTTTAGCCATATAAAACACAGAAAAACTGAGAAAGCCTACTTTCTGTCTTTAAAACTTTAGATTAAGAAGTTAATTATTTCATGTTTTTTCATCCAAATTGCAGAGTTTACTTCTGCTGCCAATAAGTTTAAACAAAGACTTCAATCCAGATGTCCCTTCAGCGTAATTTTCCACCTTTCTGTCACTTCTTTCCTTTAAGTCTCCTACTCTTGATTCAGAGGAGACGGATCTTTGAGATACGCTCCTCTGGAATAAGTATCTCAGTCGGAAGCCCATTCTAGGAGAGCGCAGGGTTTCATCCACGGAGGCCGACCTTGGCAGTGGTCCCTGTGACAATGCTCTCTGACGGATACACTCAGGAAGGGAGGCAGACCCTCCAAATGGAGAAGTCAGACTTTCTTGACTATTACAATTTTTCAAGTCAGTTTCATCATTCTCCCAGACTCCATCATCAGGATCATTTCCAGAAGATGTTGATGATCCTCTGCGGGCTGTGTCTCTCAGGCTGTTGCTTCTCGGAGAGCAACTTATGGGGCTCAGAATAGTCCATGGAGATCCCACATTACCATTATTGGTAAAGAAGTAGTCCCTAGCTCTAAGTGAAGGGGTTCGTGGAGTACTAGCTTCGTCCTGTTCTACTTTCGAATGCCGAGGACTCCCCAATATCTCATCATTACGGCTGCCTTTGACATTTTGGTAGCAAATTACCTTCCGGGTTATCTCGCGCATCTTTTCGGCTTCTTCCTTCTCCAATTTTGCCAATTCCACATCTTTAAATAGCTTAGTTTGTTTCTTCACTGGGCTGTCTGTAGTTTTGCAAGAAATTGGCCTTTCTTTTTGTGAAGTCTGAGAACAGGATTCAGAACGCAAGCCTTTAGCCTGGGGTTGATAATTCTTCCTACATCTGCTTAAACCAGATGGGGGTTTGGATAGAAGGTTGTGCAGCGCTGACTCTAAGCATGAGTCATCTGTAGGGTCAAGTGCTGAACATGAAGCCACAGAGCGTCGTTTAGCAGCTAGTTGCATGCTCTCTGAGCGCTTGTGTCTTTGTTCAACAGCTTCTCGCTCTCTGTTCTCCTGCAGGTCATGTAAAGAGAAAATATTTCATAATGAACCAAACCTCCAGAAAGGAAAACCTAAATAAAAATCCTTCACATTTGTGAAAGGTTCAAACCACTGAAAAAGTAAATGTTGATCTCATAATAAAAATGCTGGATATTGTTAGTCTTCTTACCTGTACAGCTTTGTCAAACCTTTTACAGAATGAATAAAAGATGGAACAACACTCTTCAAGTTTGAAGGTAGCTGGGTCTTCACAGAAATACCCTGCGACAGCATCGCTTAAAGCCTTCAGTTCATTCAGGGACAGGTCAACGTCTGCAAGCATAGAATCTGCCCTCTGTCAAAAAGTTATAAAATACATGTATAGATCTTAGTTCTTTTTAAAGGTGACATTTGCAAACAGAGACTAATTTTTGTTTTACCTCCAGAAATTGATCTTGTTGTAAGAGGCCAGGATGCATGCTACTAAACAGTTTAACTTCTTCCATCTTCTGTATTTCCTCCTTCAAGTCCTTGATGATGTCATCTTTACAAATTCTTTGGTAAAATTCAGATACAAACTTGTTCACAATCAGATAAAGCGTCAGACAGAAAAAAATAGGATTTAAAAACATGGGAAAAAACACATTTAAAGGGTAACCTTGATGCCATCCCAATGTGACCAAGTTGGCTTGGAAAAGTCAGCAACTCTGCATCAATCTCCTCTGCTTGCTGTGGATAGCAAAGAAAAGAGCTTTGTAAGCAAATGAATAGGTCTGGAGTTTGTGCATCAATGTTTTCACCTGAAAATATGGCAGAAACCCTTTTATTCACGTATGAATATCAAGGCATGCAGAACGTGATCAAACAAAATAAAATAAACATTCATATACGTTAGCCAAGGAGGACATTGTTAATGGTAAAATGAGAAGAGCTCAAGTAGTTAAAGCCTGAGAGTATATATTGGTACCAAGATATATTGACTGGCTCACCATTTTAGCATTCAAATGAGAATTTTTTAAGACAACTGCAGTCCAAAAGGCAGCAGTTCTTTGAGCAAGACACAATGCTAATTGTACCCATTTACCTGGTAACCACTCTGATTTTCCCAACAGTGGCGTGAGACAGTGTTTGTTAACCACAACCAGAGTCACTATGAATTATCAACATAATCACGGTATATCAAATACCCATACAATGTGGTACCAAAGGACAACATTTAGGCTCAATCTGCAGTGACTTATTTTTCATAAATAATTTTTCATAGCCATTACACTATGAATATGTAAAACAGAAAGTCTTGTATTCAGTCAAAGTATGCGATATGCATGTGCAACATTTTGTCGAGGTGACCTGATTCAACACATGGCGCACACTGAGAATGAAATAAGAATGACTGGGAACAAACTACAAGCTGTTATAAATCTGGACAAATAGTTACTTAGGAAGTAAATTAAATTGTCCCAATATTAATCCTCTGATGTGCTATGGCAAAAATCTGCCCATATTCCAGGATTTTAACCAGGATGGACAAAAGAATTGTGTTTCAAATTGTACATACTGAGTTTGATACATTTGGTTTTGCTTGTTAAGCACCATTTCTTACACAACTCTTTGTATGTGATCACATACAAGTAACTTCACTGACAAAAAATATTTTAGATTAACCTCTTGCAGTTTCATTAATTTATTCGGAAGTGCGGCATAATTTATTGTGCCTTCATAAATTATTTCCATCCTAATTATACACTTTACCTTGGCAACATAGTGCATGAGATTCATCCCAGGCTTGTTGGCTTTGGTGTCTGCCAAGTTGAGCAGTGAAGCCACCCTGAATCCTACTGCATTTGCACTGTAACCACCCTGAAGGACAAAGTTTTTAATTGATTACTCAGTTAAGCAGTTTCACAGAAGCACAACATCCATCAGTTAATACAATGTAATGAAAAATGTCTCTGCAGGAAAATACGAACAGCGTTCATGAAATTCCCGGCTTTCAACACTAGTCGAATCACCGAATGGAGGTCATCGCAGTCCAACAGTTCTATTGGAGGAGAGAAAAAAGATACACTAGGAGCATGTAGGAATATCTGAAGCAATGTAGGAAGCAGGTGAAATATTACCATTAGCTGCTTTGGTCATGACCACAATGGCATTCTTCACTTCCTCCATGAGGGGAAAGAACTCTTCCCTCAGAAGCATCACTTTTAGACGTTCCCCATAGCTGAATGCAAGACAGACAAGCAAATGTTTTTTGTTGTTCCAAAAAAACAAAAAGAAAAAGAAAAGCTGTCAGGTTTTAGGAGGCCTATTAAAAAAAACTAACAATGCAATCAGGTCTGAGTTGTCACACTCAAATGCAACTACACAAAGAACCATCAGAACCAAATTATAAAAACAACACAGTAAAAGTCAGTTGACACCAAGACAGAAAGACTGATCCATTTCATTGTAATTTTGATAACTTGATGTCTCCAGCAACATTCAATTAAATATTTAAAAACAGACTCACCTAGGGACTTTAATGAGCTGTACCATGAACTGGTCTGCCTCAGTTAACACAGAGACTTGACCTCTGTATGACTGCAGCTGTTTTACCTACATGTTGACAAAATGATGACTTACCATTAAACATAAAAAAAGGTAAGTCTTGAATACTTTTGCATTTAGACATTTACATATCAGGTATGAAAAATGATTCTACAGAAAAAATACTAACAGCGTTCATGTAATTCCTGGCTTTCAACACTAGTCGGATCACTGAATGAAGGTCATTAAAAACCGATTTCATGTTTGTAAATAATTTATTTTATGTTAGTTTATATAAGTAACTGAAGGTTGCGTAATGTCTTGTTTTGTCATTGTGCTTAGCATGTTATTTCTGTAGCATAGATACAAAATAAACAACTTCAACACAGAAATGAGATTTAAAAAAAATGTTTTGTTTTAAATAAATACTGTAATTTTATCAGTATACAGGGAGAATTTTGGATATTCTCAAAAAATTTACCCACAAACTATTCCACAGAACCATCGCTATGCCATATTTTTGTTTTGAGTCAATCTATGCATGAAAAATCAACAGGAATAGAGTTCCTGTTACCTCACTTTCTTCTGGTAGAAGCTTGCAAAGCTCTTTTAGTTTGCCATTTCCAAAACTCTGCCAATTCCCCTGATGAATGTTCTCCACTATTTCACTAACAGGCCTACAGACGAAGACATACACAAAACCAGTTAGAACACAAATAAAAAAGTATTTACTTTATTATCAGTACATGTGTAGCTCTTTTAGAAAGTTATTGCTCTGTAGTACAGGCAGAACAGACCCACTAAACAATATGGTGAAGAGCAATCTGTGCACTAATTAAGAACATGGCATTCAATAAACTTAAACCATGAGAAGTTAATTTCACATTATGGTTCATATTTATGAAAGATGTTGGTTTAAAGATTAGAATGATCTTAAATCCACTAACAGGGAATCGATTGCTTTAAGTTTGACTAATTTCTAAACTTCATAGCACATAAAAAATAGATAAACACTCTTTGCACAAAGCCAGATTATTTTATCTATAATAAAAATGCCCACTGGCTGCATAGCAGCTGACACAGTTTCAGTTAAACTAATAGATTGAAGCTGACATCAGTACACCACTTTCTGAGTCATTTCAGTATAGAAATAGAGAACTGAACATACAAGGTTATGTATTCATACTTAATATCTGTACACCGCAAGTATGTAAACTCAAAGTTCTAATTCCTTATTTGAATTCTAATTCCTTTACTTGCATTTATATTTCTGATCACATTTTTAAACTTGTTACTATGATACTGGTTGAAATAAAGTAATGTATTAAACAGTTAAGAAGTTTTTATTAAATGGTCTAAACCGACGCTTTGAAAAGGGATTTCCATGTATTTGCATGAGTTCAGCTGAGATAAAGCCTTATGGTTGGGTAATCATTAGTACAGTGGAAGTGTCGCATCCATCCAGACACCCATAACTAATGTCTGAATGACTCAAAGCACAGCTTAAGTCATTTAACTTCATTAGGTTATTCGGACTCTTGTTTACCTCATATGTTTCAGTACAGAGTTTTTCACAGCATAATTTCCACCATATGCATCTGCCTATTACAATATTAAACACACATTACCTTTTGAAATGTCTTAGGAAGATCCCGATATTCATGCTCCGCTTGGAATCCAATATTGTCACCTAAAAACAAAATGCAGGGTATACTCATTTTGGCTAAAAAGATTGCAGATAATTCAACAATCCAACATTTGAGGAAGATGAAAATAAAAATTCCAGACTGTTTTACTTAAAACAGTTTCACACTAATAGTTGTGTGGAATCAAAAAAAAAAAAGAAAAGAAAGAAATTACTTCCTCCTAGCATCTTTACTACTTCTCCTATTTAGGTTATTTGTAAGCTCGTAAAAAAGAAAAAGAAAGTAGAGCCTGTATGGACAATCTGTTTCTTATTTGTACATATCTATTAGTTACCTGAGATTCCTGTCCACACAAGTTCATCCCATCTCTTTTACTTAAACTGAAGACTTTTGAGGCCCGTAGCGACGCGCTTTTGTCATCATGACTAAATAACTCTTCCATGGTTTGTATATCCAATACCAGGTCCCTCTGAGTCCGTTTGGACGTCCACACGTTCAGCTTACCCAACACATGGTGGTTAGGCAGTGTGTCCCAGTTCAGCTTTTTCATGGAACGTCTTTGGATGTCACAAGAACCAAAGAAAGTAGGAGGTGGAGGTAGTGGAGGAGGAGGTGGTGGTGGTGTTGTTGGTGGGAGTGCTTCTGTACCATTAGCCACAGGAGATGGTTGGACATACAATGCTTTTTGAAAATCCAGCACAGACGGAGGAGAGGGGTCTCTGGATGAACAACTGGGCAAAGTGGATTTTGAACTCCCCTCCAGCATCCTCTCCATCTGTTTTTCCCCTGAGATCCAAAGGCGAACACGCCTTCTCACCAATCAGTACTGAGAATACACAAAAATAGTAGTTTTATTTATTTTTTTAAAAAGCTGTATTTTTTGACAAATAGATGAATATTTACTTAGCTGGTGGAAATGTGTGAATATATTACCGTGTTACAATAAAAATATTTTAATTCACTGAACTGATCCAACTTTATGTATTACAATAACCATGCAGGAGATTCAATTTTGATCCATAAAACACATTTAAGAGAAAGAGAAAAAAAATCTGTTAACAGAGCTGTGTGTTTGAAATATTTAATGGATACCTCTTTAAATAGGCTTTTGTTGATGTAAATGTCATCAAGTGTAAATCAAACAATCTATTCTTAACTGAACGTTTTCTAAAATGTACTTTACCTGCTCATTTAAAAAATTAATAGTACATTCAATATAACGTTTTTCCAAAATTTTTCACCAAGGTCCTTAATTGAGAGAAAGAAAAAAGAAGACATCTACGGAATTATATGTTATTCTAGCAGAAAAAAATGAAGTTGCGACAAGCGGCTTGAAATGTTTAAATACGAGAATTAATGCATTTATTCTAACAATTTTAACAGGACTCGCAGTAATCTGGCCTAAAACATAATATCTGAATTTTTAAAAATAACATCATGTACTTACAACGCTTTTTAGACTAGCTGCAAGAAATGTGTGCAATTTGGCGTCGTTTCCTCCCTGAATATCATGTCCCAGAAACAAGTCAGGTGTAGAGTTAGTCTCTAATCAAATTCAAGTCAGTTCCCAAATACAGGACCGCCCTCACGATAAGAGGGCCGCTCCTTTTCCTGTCGCCGCCACATGATGTGGTGCCTGGAGGGAAGGAGTTAAAAACAACAGAACAGCATCAGTCAAAGGGTAGGCATATTCCCTCTGAGCCAAATACATAAATAAGTATGCAGCAAGTGGACGACACTGATTCTTGGCTCCGATCATTAAATTTAAAGAGTATTAGGTATCTAAAATTTGTTGGGCTTCTTTTATTACTGCTAATAATTAGTAATAAAATTGCGCTGCATAAATCATAAAACAAATTTGATGGCGACAGCTAATTCAGCAGCGCTTCGCTTTCCCAGACTGGGCTTTACGTCTGACTTTTGTTCTTTACTTAGAAAAGAAGCTCAAAGAAAGGAAGCGCCTTGACGTGATGTTAGCAAAGCTCATTGTACAGAGACACACAAGCATTTGTGGTGAGAAAAAGTCACTCACTGCACTGAATTATTGTTGATAAAGTGTTGCATATGGAACAACACTGTGTCCAAAAGTCAATAATATAGTGACGTGACATTCAGGAATGATCCGATTCTTCTGAACTTCTCTGTACTAAGATGAGACTGGAGCCTCACTGAGAGCCATTCTTTGTTCTTGTAATGCACTGCTACTTTATTTTTATTTAATTATATACATTGATATTTATTTAATTAGCAAATAAGTAAAACACAAAAACGAAAGAGCACGCAAAGCATGCACATTGCTCTTTGATTGGTTTAGTTCAAAGTGGAAGTTGTAATGCAAGGGTGTACCATTGGGGACGAGGAAGAGGTGTGTGTGTGTGTGTGTGTGGGTGTGTGTGTGTGTGCGTGTGTGTTTGGGGGAGGTGATGCACCCATAGTTACTGGAAGGCCTTTTCTTTTATTAGTGCTAAGAATAATGACAAAACTTAAATGTAAATGCCAGACAGTCTTAATTCAATAGATTAGGATATACGTCCTGATCAGAATAAGTAACCTCTGTGTAAACCAAATGAATCCTTGTTAGTACAAACTTTGCTTTCTTAAATTATGTGATTCTTACTCCACAGCTGTCCCTCAATTGGTTGGCAACTGAGGCACAGCTGTCTCATCCGCTGACTTACACATAGCAGAGGAGATATGATGCGTCTTTAATGTAGCAAATATTAAAGACGCCAAACCTTTTTTGGTCCTTGTTGGGGCAGTTGGTGAGTCGAGTGACCATTGATATGACTGGAATCTTATGAAATGTGGCTTAAAGCTGAGATGCTGATGTTTGCATATGTAAAAATATATATTTTCTCTGCATATAAATTTACAAATGGGTTGGTTTCTGTCAGTTCTGTAAAGACACAAGAAATAAGGCTTTTTTTTTTATAATCGGCAATAATTTAATTTTACTAATTGTTGCTGTCAGAGCCATGGTTTAAAATGTAACAAACTTTAGCTCCTATGCTTTATGAAATATTCAATCTTGTTCTACGAACAAATGATGCAACTCGTCCAGGGGGGTAAAAACCCGGTGACCTTTTTGCACATACCTACTTTTTCTCAGTCTGTCGCCCAGACTCGTTGGCATGGCAACCGATAAACAGCCCTGGATTACGTTCAGCTGCATCAGGAATGAACTCTTAAAATCCTCAAAAACATTCCCCACACAAAAAAGGTACGTAAAAACACCAAACTGAGCATTCTGTCCGTTGCAGATGTTTTTGAATTTTCATTTTGCGGTCCTCATTTTAGAAAAGCAGAACAACAAAAAATTTGTTTCTAAATGTGGTAGTTTATCTTTTAATTGTGACTTCTTTTCTGCATTGCAGTCCTATGCAGGATGGCTTCGACTTTTGTGACAAAAAACCAATGAGACCAAGTTTGAAATTACTTCCTCAATGTTTTATTTGACCAATTCCAGATTGTTCCTCTTCTCCATATAGCACAAAGCATTACAACATAAATACGACAACGACAAAAGCCAAAGAAAATACAAACAGTTTGAAAGTGTGAACTTTCAATTTTGCTCCTTTGGGTTTGAATTGGACTTTTGAGGTGCAATTGAGGAATGAAGGCAGAGTATCCATGACAATGTCATATCATCATAAATATCTGAATTTCAGTACAGTACATCAACTCAGTCTACAAAACATTTGCTTATACACAAATAAAATATATATATTTATGTATATTTAGAAATCTTGGCTTTCATGTGGCAACACTTCAATCTTTGCAAGAATGTTCAAGAGTTATTTTTAAATTCAACCATTTCCACAACTATGGAACAAAAGAAAAGTGTATTGCCATTACTTTTAATGTCTGATAAGGAACCCCAAACAAAGCAGTCTGGAAAAAGGGATCACATTTTAAATATTGCTTCATGGTAGTCAAGCAAACCAGGAGCTTGACAGTAAACTGATATAAAAACGTCCTCGCCTTTTAAATAAACCCTCGACTTCTCCATCATTCTCACTAAGAGTGCCAGATGACTAGTAAACTCACTTTTGATTATGCTTCTGCCATCTTGAATGTCACAAATTACACAATGCCAGTCCATGCTAGATGACAAACATGGAAGACAAGAGCTGACCGTTAGTGAAAGCGCGCATATCTACACTTCAGGATTGTTATCTGCCATGCAAATATAGAACAAGTAGCTGAAGGAATGACGCATTTATATTATAAAGAGGCTCTCATGAGCACAGAGTCAGTATTCTAGCCCATATTATTTTTGACTGATAATTTTATACAAATGAAATGTATGTTTTTGGGTGATTTAGTCAGCAATTTGGTAATTTCATCTTACTGTATTACCATCTTAATTATCGTATGAAAAAAACTTAATTTTTGTTTTAATAAAAAGTGACAATTTTAACAGGGCAACACTCTGAATACAATAGTGATATGTAAAAGTTCAACTCTTATACAAATGCTTCCATCAGTGATAGTTTTCTTCTGAAATCTGCACTTTTCATATTTTCTGATTGCTAAATGCCAGAATGTGATACTAAAATGATCTAATTAGTAACATTAGATAGCTATGTTGATCAATTCTTAATTCAGCAGAATCAGAAGATGCGATGTTTTGTCAAAAGACGTATAGTTGTTAGTTTCACACAAATATGACAGACAATTCAAAATATCAATAGAACAGAAAAAAAATATAATAACTTTCTATGTGATACTATTCAGTAAGAGTTAACTAGTGAAGTGACTCCAGTCAAGTTTCTCAGATTGTAAAAAGACACTGGCACATTCCAGTGTGAAAACCAATCAGATAAAAAAAAAAAAAAAAAAAAAACAATTCCCACATAAACAAGGCAAACAAGGTCAGCCTTCACCGAACATCTCAATCTATTCAAAACCCAAGGAAGGCTGTGGCAGTGCTTCTTAAATGATTGTTGCATATCTGAAAGTTGAACAATTTTCCTGTTAATGAGAAAAGTCTTTGATGGAGAACATGCTAATTAATAGTAATACTCTACAAATGTTTTTGAAAGTCGAAGTCTTAATTTTAAATTTACATTGATTTTAAATCTCTAGATATTTGTAGTGTACTAGAAAAGGACATGATGTGTATTTATAAACAGTTTTAACTTTTTTCTTGAATATATTTTATTTATCACATAACTGGTTCATCTCAATAAGCTGGAACATCATTGAAAAGCTATTTTAGCAATTTGATTTAAAGTCAAACATATATTGTAGATTCATAACACAAAATGATATAACTTAAACATTTATTTGATGATTATGCCCTAAATTCACTAAGATATTCCACTGAACTCTTATTATAAACCCAAATAAAAAAATGTTTCATATGGAAAAGTCATCTCCCTCTAGGCTATTCTCCATATACTCTCTATGGCGCTCTAAGGCCAGTTTGACGGTTAATGAAG